CTAAAACATTGTACAGAATATAAAATCCTTTCATAGACTTTTTATGACACATGAAACATGAGTCTTAAAGGTTTAATGTTACTGACTTTTATACAAGGCTTTTTAATTCTTGATTCCAGTTATGGTTCTGCAAATGAACTGTGACATTAAAAAGAATCAGGCTGGAACTGCCTTAGCTCTCTCTCTAGATGAGTTTCTCCTGTCCATGAAGGGTTCACATAATCTGCCCCACCCTGCCCACGTCTGGTTAGCACTAACTTGCTTTAGCAGCAGCCAAGTGTAAATCCTGCACTGCATTAAATCTGCCTAACACATCGCATCCCACTCAAATTTGTCATTAAGGTTAGGTGGGCTTATAAATTATTAAGAAGGCTGAAGTGTTACTTAATTTCCCTTTCTCTTAATATTTAATAGTGTGCTACAACAATTGGGCACATGATTTAATTGACTGAATACAGAACCAGCACTGATACATACTCCAATGAAATAGAGATGAAACCAGTTATTCCATCATTTACGTACGGGTGAGAAACTCATGCTACTGGGACCAGTGGCTGAACAGGTTCTTACACCTCTAACGGCTAAAGGAAGTCAAGTACTCACATATGGAGCACTCACCCAGCTCAGCAGGCTTTTTGGACTCTCCAAAGGAGTAGTGGCACACCTTTTCTGTGCCCTTCCGTGGGTGGATCTGTCACTAGATGACAATTGTACATGATATGCTCCCAGCCAAACACAGACCTGACCAGGTTGGAGGGAGGTACCCAGCACACCAAGTGACCTGGGGTATACACACTACATTAGGGACTACTAACAGGGGAAAGAACTGCGGTCTTAACCTCCTTGAATCCATCTCTGCACGGGTACTTTGGATAATCACATGCCTGAAAAGAAGTTCAGTTCCATTGGCCTAAGGGTTTAGGGAGACATGAGAGTGACTGAACCTTAGGTTTTATTTGACTTGAACATTTACAGTTGCCCTCTTCAACAGCTGTATCTGAGTAAGCTGCCTGTACAACCAAAAGAAAGAAAAAAGGTGTGACTAATCCCATCCTGAAATAAATATCTTATGCCATTAGAATACTTGTTTCTCTGCACTGAGTACAAAAGCAGCTAGGACACCTAGGTCAGGTGTAGACGCATGTACGTAAGAGGGATCTTGGCAGACTGTAGCAGACTGTGGCCATGCAAGAGCTGCATCTTACAGCTATCCCCCTTCTGCTATCAGCAGTCTAAGAGAAACATCTGTGAATGCATCCATAAAAGTAAATAACATAGGATAGTACCAATTATTTGGCTTTGTAGGAAAGAAGCATGTTGTTGTTTGGATCTCTGCAGCTAAATCCCTTTGCCTCCAAACAAAATAGGTTTGTCTCTACTTCTTGCTGAGAAAAGCCCTTGACTCAAGCAGAATTCTGCCGAGCTATCATTAGAGGTAAGGACAGAGAGCTAGTTGGAATGGGTCCTTGTTTGTGCAAATGGAGAAGATGGGTGATTCTGGGCTGTGCTTAAGCCCAGGCCCCAGAACTGTTGTTTACTTGTGCAGATACACTCAGTGGTTGCAGGTGAAGAGTAATAGGAATATTCTGAGTTCTGCCTTCATTAATGTATATTTAATTCTCAATACACTTCCACACAACAAAGAAGATCGATTAAGATTGACAACTTTTCACTTGTGTACTTTATTAATTAATGCTGCGTATCTGGACAAAAGCCATCACTAAATTGTTATGATTTATATTTACTACAAAACACAGGAATTCTGTTCATAGAAAGTTCATATAGGATATTTACAAAGCCTATGTACCAGGCTACTTACAAAAAATGAATAAAAAAGGGGTACTGATTCAGATAAAGCACTGTTACACAATATCTTTCACAAAATTACATTCAAAAATCTTTTGTTAAATTGCTGAGACTTAGAAATGTTCATGAATGCTGTGTCCAGCAAATGCTATGAGCAATGTGATTCAGTTGATGAAGAAAAATCCATTGCTGTTACTACAGTGCATTGCTCTAGTCTGAACTAATGTCAGAATTTTAAGGTTTGCGTTGCTCTTGAAGATTTGGCAAGCTCATCAAGGGCAGATAGAAATAATTTGTGCATTGTATATAACACTAGCAAACAAACTTTAGTTTTCATTTTAAGGTTTTTAATTTAGCTTTTGTCTAGAGGACATTCTTGAGTTGTGCTTGCAGGAAAAAATACTATTTTTACAGTATGAAGGAGAAGAAAAGAAAAATAAAGCTGTAAAGTGCCATGAAAAGCTGTCTGCTACAAGGGTAATATTTCTCTCCTGACAGAAAAGCTCCATGTTCTTTTTCCAAAACCCCTAACTAAACTCAGAAACATTGATCCAGACATTTCTATTGCTTCCTTACTCCATAGGTTGATTACATACTTCATGAAAACTCAGAGCTGCTGTAAATTCTCTAACAAGAGAAAACATGCTGCTTATACACACTGCAGTGGAATGGCATTTTAACTTGCCTTATAGCTTTCCCACCCACTATTTCCATTCACAGTCTCAGGACAGATTAAAATATTAAGTTGTCTCAAGCTGAAATGTAATGTAAATTTAAATTAAATGTAATGCAAATTTAAACTAAATGTAATGCCTTCTCTCAAATGTCTGTAAAAACAACCTATTCTTTTAGTAATTAAACAAGCCCTTTTTCACAAAAAGCCACCAAAAAAAAGGTACAAAAATGTACTTAAAGAACAAAGGAAAAAAAAAAGGTTTTGTTTGTTTTTTTTTTGTATTTGATTGACTATCAGTTCCCTTTAAAAAAAGCATCATACTAGTTTAGTCCATAGTATAACTCTAGCACCTCATCACTTTCAGCTGCTCAGCCTGTGCCCAGTTTTGAGTGGCATTACATATAAGGTAAATATACCTTATATTGGGGAGGGGGTATCTTCTTACAGCAGGTCTTCTCACCATCTCAGGCGTCCCCTTTCTCCTTGTTCTTTCTCCAGGCCTTCCCACTTCAACACAGCCTTTTGGAGTTTTTTTTCTGTAAACCATTCATTTAGCCAGAACAAGAACAAACACCATTTGAAAGCTGCCTTTTTTAGTTTATTTGGGTTTTTTTAACGCTGTTTTGTGAGATGACTGCTTAGGTGAGGAAATTGTATTTTCTCAAGTATTTTGTGGACGAGAAGGTCAGAAATGAAAGTAGTGTTTAGAAACCATCATCTTCTGGGCAAATGTGTTTTACAGAAAAGGTAAGGGATTTTCTAATCCAAAAATCCAAAATACCAAAATTAAAATAAATGTTAACTCCAGTAATAAAGTAGACTACAACTGTAACCACCAGGACTGTGTGAGAAAGACTGAAAGGGGACAAAAGAAGAGGTAATTTTCTTAAGGTATTGAATTAAGGTAGTGACAATAGGAGGAAGAATGAAAAGACACAGAACTATATGCTGGCGAATAAATTATTTTGTATTGAAAGAAGAAGGTTAACTCCTTGCCAGAATTCAGTGGAGGTGCCTAACCTGACTGAGTGTTGAAAATAAACAACACAGGAAGAGTGTCAGAGAGATGAAAAGCAGGAGAGAAGCAGCATTAGAGAAAAGTAAGAATAACAGCACTAGTAAGAAAACCAGAACTAGAGGGAATGACATGAATTGTTAAGACTACCCTTTCGCTATCCCAGGTGTAAGTACTTGCTACAGGGAATATGGCTCCTATGCTTTCAGAATTCACTTTTGTTCTGAGGTTCTTTCCTTGAAAATTTCTTTCACCTCTCACTTATATTTTCTGCTTCTCCTTAAAATTCTTTTCAAGACATCTGATCTTTCCAGTCAGACTGGGGTACTTTCCTACATGTCTCTCCATATTCTTTGCATACAAACTCCAATTTCTGTATTTTTAACTAAAGGAAATTACAAGTCTGCTGTAGATATGACTGCCTGAATCCACTCATAAATTAAGATACCTAGCTACAGATATAATTCAGCTTTTTCTTCCACTGAATTAAACTGGAATTAAATTGTGACTGCTTGATGCAAGACCAGGTTTTCTGGTCTTCTATGATGTTTTTATTTTTCACTGAAAGAAAGTGTAAACTAGCACCATCTCATAGTTCAGGAACACTTAGTGAAAAAATCTGCCTGTATAGCAGTATCTAAATCCAGTATTAGAGATATAAAACCATCATCTCATGCTCAGATAAATATAGCACTGCAGTGGTCATTATCTGGTTCTGTACACAGAGATAATAAAATTATTAGTCTAACTAGTACAGATGGAAAAAACAGATGAGCTGCTGAACTCATGAGTTGTAGAATGGAAAGAATGAAACTGAAACATTGCCAAGACACTGATGGATGCATATTCTGAATGGTACATGTAGTGCTGGAACCCAATGTCAAAAAGGATACAGTAGCACTAAAAATGAGGGAGGAGTGAGAAAGAGAAAAAGGTATAGAATGGTTCCCATGCAAAGAACAGCTAAATAAATTAGGATCCTGCAGCACCGAAAAGATATGCCACAGGGTTTATAAATTCTGAGTGTCTAGGAGAAATAAAGCAGTCCCACGCTGTTCTTCTTAATAAAAGATGGGAAGAGCCTTACACAAAATTAGCAGATCACAAGTGTCAAACAAAGGGCGTGTTTTTTTTTTTCTCATAAATCATAGTTAAACTGCAGATCACTTAACCACAAGAGTTTTATGGATGCTTAATGGTTATATAGGTTCAAAAAGCAAAGGGACAAACTAGTGAAGAAAGAAATCAAAGTCTAGCATGTACAAAAATCTGACCATTGCATCCAAAAGTCCCTGAGCTGCAAATCAGTGAAAGGTGTGCTAGGCATGTATCCCCTCACACACTACTCTAGGCACTTGCTGTTGGCTGTGTTAAACTTGGCTAATGGGATTTCTTCTTCAACACAATACAGCCATTCTTATATTGCTATTACCACCATTCAATTTTAGTACAACTTGGTGTGCATTGGGAAACAAAGTAACTCATGACTGAAGTGTTAATAGTTTCCTTTTCTCTTACTGCAATAGAGGATTGCACTCAACTCAAAATGGAAGAAGTGTGTTTATAGCTGACTCCTAGCCCTACATAAGAACTTCCCTTATCTTTTTTTTTTTTTCATGATTGTGGATCATATTTTCTCTTTTTCTAGGAAGCTTTATCTCTAGGGAATCGTGAAGATATGAGCTATATGTGGGAGGCTAAACCAGACGAGTCACAGCTGTATGGGACAGCTAACTGAGGTAAGGAATTTCCTTCCCTTGACTCTGCATCATATACTGTGCCTCCTCAATATCTTTTTCTAGATGGTATTTTAACCTACATGTATTATTTTAAATGCTGACAGCCCCCCCCCAAAAAAAAAAAATTAAATATGGGGACTCTGAAAAACTGCTATTGACTAGTAGTATTTGAATTCTGTCCATGGTGTTGATCTATTCTGCCTGCAAAGGGAATTAATGTCAGTGTCCTGGCCAATACATATCTACGTCTGCAAAATGGAGAGCATCCTGGTTCTTGCAATAGTAGCACTGAGCTGACTAAAATAATATCCTTTTCACTGCCATTATACAAACACAATATAATTGGGGAATTGCTAGAGTCCCTATATTTAATTTTGGTGCCTCGGCAAATGATCCTAATAGCCTAATGGCTAGATGCTGCTGTTGCTAATGCTGTTCAATTGACTTGGTTTCAAAGTGTATCAATGAGTCTTTTAAGTATCCACTAGAGCTGTAAGGTTTCAGATTACAGCTCTTAAACTATATGCGATCTCTAATGAAAAAAGGGGGGGGGGGGAAAGAGAATTGATAAAGTAAGCTAAGGCAGCAAAGTCAGCAAAAATTGCACAGGCAATCTAACTTCACTCTATAACCGGGTGAGCACATAAATTACTTTTGGTCGGTAAATAATACACCTGGGAAAGTAAGCAACAGTGCAAATAATAATCCATTTTTTAATAATTAAATCTTAGCTAGGTCCTCATTTGGTCACAATGATATTTTTTTTACAGAGCTATAAGTATAGTCATGGGATTTGTAAAAAAAATATTGCCTTGTAGCTTTTTATGAAAATGAATGCATATCCAGTATTGATCCTGACTTGTTCATGTTAAAACAAGTCTCCTTGGGTAAAATATTCTCAAATCAATAATATGCTGTAATCTCATGTGACACTAATAAAATAACACAAATGACAATTCATTTTTGTTTACTTGTCTCCTCTTACTGGATTGATAAATTTTGTTAAAAAAAAGGAAAACTAGATCTTGGTGCATAGTAGGCATATTTCTAAGACAGTTCTGATTGATTTTTGGAGTAATTTTTGAAGAAACAATCAATCTCTAGAATTCTTTCCTGAAACTTATTTTAATAGCTGTTGATATATGTTGTGCATATCACAAACACCCAAAACGCAGCACTGAAGTTCTTAATCCAGCACTTTACATTTCCTTTCCCCAAGCATTTTATTCCTCTAAATTTACAAGCAGCTACAGCGAGATGCAGCTGATTTCACAGATTTTAAGTTGAGCATATGTGTTTGCAGATTCCAGCCTAAAAGGAGCTGAAATATTACAGAAAACAATTCTGTCATAATCAGTGTTTATCTGTGTGCTATGCCAGATGTATTTATTTCAAATTGCCCCAGATTAAGATTACAGCTATTACCCTTCCTCAAGTAGATGTATTTTGCAACTTCTTGGAAAGAGAATAGGAAATGTTGAAAGTACTGTCATGATTGTACTGAGAACTACATGTATTTACCGAGATAAACAGAACAACCTTGAAGCCATGCTTCTGCCAAAGACAATATTGTGTCTCCTCAGTTATGGGAGACGGGGAGAGAAAAATAAATTAATTTAATCCACCCGTACAAACTGCTATGAGGAAGTAAGGTACCAAGCTGTTAAGATGCTTTTGAATTTTATTGGTTGCGTCAAGTGTTTTCACAAGAGCAATCTCAATAATCTCAGCTGATATTTTGGTGTACACGTAACAGAGCTAAAAGCTTGGTAAATGGTAGAAAACAGAGTCTGAATGGGGAAATAGTGCCAGCCTACTTTTTCAGAGCAGAGGTGGATTTGTAGCACCATTCACCAGCTGTGAGGGAATTCTGAAAGCAGCAGAACCAACAATCTGTAATTGGGATAAAAGGTAGAGATCCCGTGGCAGTAGTCTGAGTTCCAATGAGGAAAAGTCCACACTGAAACTGAAAAGTCAGCTTCTTGTAGAAACACACTTTTCCTCATCTGGAATTAAATGCTTCTTGAATAGGGAACAAGCATTCTTCATACATAACCATGATGATGCAATTTGATTTTTTTTTTTTTTTTTTTTTGAGAAGAAGGACTAAAAAACCATTTACTGGACCAGATTGTAAAGTGCCAAAGAGCGCAGTATAAATGTTCACAGACCTGATCTATGAATAAACTTGCAACCATTTGCAGTGACTGCTGTCCAAACACCCAGTTTTACTATTTCTTTGTATTTGGGCTGTCCTTATTCTACAGCTCCTGAGATTTAGAAGTGACCCAGCTGTACTAAACAGAAAACAAGCAAAACAAAGTAAAGCTATAGTTTCTTCTAAGCAGAGACTCCTCTTTTTCCTTTAAGCATTTAATTTATAAATATCTCTTTCTTCATAGGTTTTCTATAGCAGGAGGAATATTGTCAGTGCTTGCCAATTTTTAAATAAAAAGTAGCAATTGCTGAAAACAAATTAGTAACAAATTCATTACTATTTATAACAAATTCATAGTGCTGCCTTTTTTTAGTTTACTGCTTCTGAAATAATCTAAGAAATACTTGTTAGCTAATAAAAGCCAAGAAAAATGTTTTGTATGTAAACCATATCAATTTAACAAATTACACACCCTCAAAATTCCAGTTTAAACCAGTTAAATTTTCCGGCTAAACAAGTTCTTGGTGTTGCTCCTCCCTTGTGAAAAGATCTGCTCCAGAGACAGATTGATTTGTATTCTTTCTGATATCTATAGGTATGCACTGGCTAAAATACTTTCTTACCTCTTCCTGATTCAATTTAAGGAAACAGATTACTTGAATTAACATTACCTATCAAGTCCTTTGCTTTGTTTTTGCCTCAAACAGCCCCTCTTAAGCTCCTAGAAATTCCATCCGGCCTCCCACCGTTCATTAAAACAAGCCCTGCCTATTTCATTATTTGTGGTCCTGGCGTCTCTCCCCTGAAACAAAAGGGTAGATTGTCTGCTGCAGGAGACACCTGGAAGGTGCACAAAGTACAAAGGCTAGAATTCAAAGGAGTTCCCAGTGTATTCAACAAGCAATTACTTCTGCTTGTGATGGGAGACTGTCAGCTTCAAAAACAAGGCATTCTTTGGAAAGATTAGTCCAAATTACATTTTATTACATTGGCCCGCTTGGACGGCCTAAACTTCATCTCGTTCTTATTCTAATGGAATTCAATCAAGGGTATTAATATATTGTTTATGACATGTTTGGAGTTCTTGTGTTATCAGCATACATTCATGAGAGGAGCTTCAAACACTATCAGATAACAGTGAGCTGGATGTTGGATGTTGGATGTTGTACAGCATAGGGGATTTTATCATCTTGTTGAACCAGAGGCAGTGATTAAATTAAACTGTCTGAACAAAGCTTTTGCATGTCAGGCTGTTGAATGGCAAAATGAAAGAGTGACACACTTCAAAGATCAAGGAGAGAGAGAGCTGGAAAACCATACTTAACATAACTTCTTATTTAATATATTAAATAACTGAACCATTGGCTGCCTGGGCTTTTACTAGCAAATAATCAGAACAAAATATTTTATGCATTCTAGCATTAATTCACTACACACAAATGTCAAAGTGCATACGAAGTTCGTATTTCATTGTTACTTTTCTCATTTCGGTGAGCACCACACTCAATATTACTAGTTTTTCTCTGCCATACTTTCGAAAAAAATCCCAAAACTCTGATTCATACCGATTTCCCTTACAGCTTCGTTTTCATGTGTGCAAGGTCCAAAGGCACAATTCTTAGTTCTTTTCTAAAATGAGCAATAACAACATGCAAAATTTTACAGACACCGGTAGGCTTGTTTGTGGGAATAAAAAGTGTTCATAAAAGCAAGGGCTAAAATATCCAGACCCCAAGCTCTTGAAATGCAAGGTCATTTATAATTTATATTACTTTCGTACCAAATATTAAAAAAAAAATAAAAAAAGACAACAAGTGCTAATAGGAAAATAAAAGACAAAACCTAATTCATGACCTACATGTTATTCTCCCAGAGTGTCTGGTTTCTGAAAATAACATTTGAATATATGAAACCTTTTAATGTGTACAGCATGATTTACGGTATAGCATACAACTTGCTGATATTTTTGGTATGAACTCAGATACTTTCCTTCTACCAAATCTTATGTAAAGAAATACTGGCACTATTCACCAATTACACTGCAATCTGCATAAAAAATGGTTTTCTTCTAAAATCTCAAACAACAGAGTCCTAGATTTAAAATAAATAGGCTGAACCAAAAAGCAATTTCTGCTACAAGGTTTAACTGAATCCTCATTGAGGATGGATTATTGCCTAGCTATTAATTTTTTTAATATCCATTACTAGCATAAGTCAAATTTTAAGAAACACCAGAATGGTCTTCTTTCATTCTATGCTGAACTCAGAATAGGTCTTGACTTTGTTCAGGGTGTTAATGTAATATGAATTATAATTTCTTATCAATAGTAATTTCATCCCATTACTTTACTTTGCACATTTAAACAAGCGTTAGTATACCTTCTGCATAAATAAATAAATTCCCTTTATAGAGCAAGATTAATTTGTTTGCATGTGCAAAAATGAAAGCATTCTTATTTTTATCAGAGCTGTGACTTAAAAAACATCTTCTTCAAAACTTTAGTATTTTTATTTGATAGTAATATTCTTCTCTCTTGTAGAGCCATAGTGCAATGACATCCATTAACATTAAATACTGAAGAACGCTTTCAAATTCAAATTCACTTGAGATGGTACAGTAGCAGAAATGGAGCCTGAGGGAAAGAATTTTGAGAATAAACAGAGGACCAGCCCATTAGAATATTCCACTGTGTATATCAGTTTTTATAATTGGTGGTACATATGTGTGCATACATGTTTGTATTTCATTGCAACTCTATGAATACATCAAGATTTAACATTCATAGCAAACAGGATCAATAGTAGATGTGCCAGTGCACTTCAGTCTTTATGCAATAGTACAAAGAAATCTAACTACATAGTGTATATTTAAGCATATATGTGTGTAGGAGCTTATTTAAGAAAAAATACACAGTAACTTTCTAGAGATACTTGTTTATGTTAGACATTTCAGGAATTTCAACCTATATTACATTCTTACTTACATATTCTTACTTTTTTGACCTTTTTCTGTTTTCACCTCTAAATAGCAGTGTGTATGAGAAAACTTAATAGCCAAGTAACATGGAATGTTGTACTTGCTCAGAAAATGTAATTGCTTAAATTTCTTTGCAAAAAGTAAATATGACTTATTCACTACTTGTGAGGCATGGGCAATCTAACCAAAAATAACATAACCATTTTACTAAATAACAACTCTATTTCAGTGTTTTCAAAGCTATATTTCAATTTAATTTTTCAAATAATAATACCTAAGTATAAAAACGCTGGCTTTCATATCACGCAAGCTTCTAAAGTTTTCTGAGATTAACAGCATTATAGCAGAAGGAATTTAAGATGCTATTCTCTTTAATTTTAGTTCTGCTACAAAGAAGGCCAAAAACAAATGGGTCTCATTATTCATGCACATATTCATGTAGGAAAAGGAGAATGTGGCCCAGGTTGTTTACCAAGTGACTACATCCCTTCGTGTTGTGTTTTTTTTTCAATCTATAGACTAGAATCAAAAATACATAGTACTATGTACACATGTAACATTTTTATTTTGTATAAGCACATGTATATATGCACTGTACTTTGAAGGTTTATTCTTTTTCTCACCTAATATAGGTGTAATTCACTAGTAAGTATGGAAAAAGCACTGAATAGCCGTCAGATTATAATAATAGTCGAGAATTTACTTTTGTGTCTTTTAGTTACTATGTGATTTACAGACAGTTTCCCAACCAGATAGCTTTTAGATATTTGTAGTAGAAGCTGCTCAGCCTGTGAACATTTATACATACGACCACTGAACTCAGCAGAAGTACTACATGAATAATGGTAGTTGTGCCTTTGAGAATAGAATTCATCTGATCAATAAGAAAAGGCTGTGTCTCATTCAATATAGATAATTAGCAGATTAATATAATTTGATTTATCCATAACAGTAATCTAAAACAAGTCAGACTGTGCCCCAAAATTGTGTCTCTCCACCAACAAACAAACATGCCCAAGGCAACTAGCTCAGCAGTAAACCTCAAATGTGAAGTTAGTCACGGTGAACATCCAAGATAAATATCTGCAAAGTCAGGTTCTAGCATGGGGGAAACAGGCCTCCACCCCAAAATATTCAAGTGCATGGGAATTCTTCTATAACTTGTAAGGGGAAAATAAACATATTCAAGACAGGAATGTAATCCAAAGCAGGAACAGGATGAACACTTTCATGGGCTATATAGGAGAAAGAATCCACTAACACTCTGAGGAATTCGTTCCTTATCATCAACATTTCTTAAATAAGATCATTTCAAATAATAATAGTTTATTAATTATATTTTGATCAGCGAAATTCAAATTATTTTCCTGTAGATATAAAATAGAAACAGTTTTGTGCTTCAGTGATATTCACCATGGAAGTGTTTCAGTTTCAGGGGAAATGACATTTGGGCTTCATTCCCTACAGTGGAAATAGCAAACAGCAGAGTCCTGTTTGTCTAGTAAAAGCCTCATTTAGAACAGCACTTTATAACCTGATTTTCTACAGCTAGAGAACATATTACTTAAACTAAAATGCCTAAGGAATTCCCATTCCTAACATCTAGGAATGCATTAATTATTCTTGAACATGGCTATTAAAATTGTTAGCACATCAACATAAAGCAAAAAAAAAGACAAAGTGTTCAAAAGGAGCAAGGCAATATTACAGTCTAAACTGTATGCTTGTGTTAATACTTGTGGTCAGAATCCATCATCATGCATCAGTGCATGCCAGGTCATATAGAAAGGAAGCACTACTCTAACTGGCAGCCATGGCATGGATCAAAAGACCAGAGTGATATGCTAATTTGGTTTAAGATGAATAAGCATGTCAGCTGAAGCATTTTATGTAAAACAGAACTTGTGAAGTTTTACAATCAGGTAGACACCAGAAAGGAATTACAATAATCCGCCTTGGAGGTGACAGAAGTACTATATGAATTAGCATTTCAGCTGTGGCCTGAGAAAATATTATCCTTAACCCAGCAACAGCAAGCACATAAATGAGTAAAAAGTGTAGTGAGGATGGCATGTAAACGACCACTAAAGAACATAAAGAGTAAGATGAGTACGATTATCTCTGGCTAAGGATACAGGGAAAAATGCAGCTGCGGACAAACA